TAAATATTATTAATGTTAAATTTATTTTTATTTTTATTTTTGCATTTTTCACTCGTTAGTGATTCGACTCGTACGAGCCACGAGTACTTAGTTCCATTAACACCCTTACGTTCAGCTATAGCTTTGGCATCGAACAAGATACAAGAAAGACGACATGGCTAATGGATTAAACATTTAATACTACAAAAACTATAATTCATGCAATGTTTTGTCACATGCGTTAACAAAATAATATAATCTGTATATTTTGTCATAATAAATAGAAAAATCTATACAAAATAAAACATGTATTCGTAGTATAATTATAATGAATAATGCGACCTACCCAACGACTCTGGTCTTTTTCATTTATTTTGAATATTTCAAAACGTAGTCCAGCCTAGCCTTTTTTTCAACCTAAGAACACCCAATTATGGAAAGGAAAAGCCTTCCGAAAGGGAAGTTCAATAGTGCCATATATTGAACTGAAGTAGATTAAAAAATGTAAAATCGAAAGTCGTGGCATTTCAAGTAGTCAAATTTTCTATCATCGTCTTGCAGTTACATTATCCTTCCTGTAGTTGAATTTCACTCAGAATTTCCAAGAATATAAATAACATCCATATCTTAGGGTAAGCAGAGACGATTTTTATCAGCGATAACAAAATTAAAAGTAGTTTAATATCGTACATAAGCATTTGGCCGTGCAAAGGAACAGCCACAAACAAAAGCATCTGAATTAGATAATATCCACGGGAACTGAAACAGGCAAAACCAACAGGTACAAATTGAATCTTGAAAAATGTCACATCCGAATCGTCCATTTGCTTTTACTAAATACAGTCTCCTCAGCTTGTCGCCTACAGCTGCAAAAATGACTTGCTACCAAAGAATATTGCAAAGAAATATATCCACGCTATGATAGACGGTCCAAATGACAATTTTTTGTTACCATCAATGACCGTTTGTCCGCCAACAGTTTCTGATTAAAGCGAAAGGGGTATGAATCAGACCAGAAAACACAGTAAAAACCCCTTAACTGATGCTATGCTTCTTGTCGAACTACATTTAAACGAGAGTAATGCTAATTTCCATTAATGAAATTGTCCACATGTCAGTAGGATCCCATTGGTGGCATGCCGAATGGAGGCATTGGAGGCATACCCATTCCACCCATGGGTGGGGGTGGCGCATTGAACCCACCTCCCATCCCAGCACTTCCCATACCCGGCATAGGAGGTGCAGGCAAAGCAAGAGGCAGCAACTGGGCATACATATTCTGCAAGAAATAACAAGCTAAAATTAGTTCTTTGAAATTTCTAATCAGTAAATTTGAGATAACATTCAAAGTTTCAAAACTTGCACAATTGGGGGGCCTCGAAAAGATTTAAGCATCAAGCAAGATCCAATGCCGAGGTGTAAAATGAATCCAAAGGTGTAAGTGAAATTAACAAAAGAAAAGTATAATCGATTCCCAATGATTGCTAGGGTTTGACAGATGATGTGATGCCGATGATTGCTTGGATTTAACAGTTATTCTGTTATTATTGTCGTAAAAGAAAAATGTTGTGCCCAAGATGAGTTTGTGGTGTGAATAATACTCCCCTAAATTCTATAGAAAGATACATATCAGGTGTCTTACAAGTGAAATCCATGATAAAAAAAAATAAAAAATAATAAAATAAAAATAATAAAAATAAAATAAAATAATTAGGTTCGTGGAATATATACCTGCTGTTTAATAATATCCTTCTCCTCATTCTCTTTAGCTTTCTCTACATTAAGAGACTCAATTTTGTCCTTGATCAATTCATCGACTTTCCCTGTATATTCACGGATAAACTGCAAGAAAGGCAAGATGTGAAACCAACTTGTACATGGAACACAAGTGCATACTCTTAAGACAGCTCCAGGTCACGCAGAGCAAAGTCATTGCAAATGGACCTCAGACATTATACAAGTTCATGACCAATCCAGAGAAAAACATAAAAAGGAGCACACAATTGTTTCTGAGATACTCTTTTAAGTAATAGAAATCCCCCAAAACACAAAAGCACATAAGAGAGAGAGGAGAGGGGAGAGGGAATCACCTGCAACAGATATGGGAAGGCAAAGTCGATCATATTATTCATCCATGCAAGTTCCAGGGCAACATCGGCGCGAATTAAATCGTAACAAACAAAGAGGCATGATGCAAAGCATTCCTTCTTTCCCTGAAGAGGTACATGAACAGCCATTTAGATATTAAATTACGGCAGTTGACAATTAAGTCAAATTAAATTTCCAAAAACCTGCATTAACCACAAATTGAACACAGATGAAAGAAGTTAATTTATTGCATTACAACATTCAAACTAAGACAAAGTTGGTTGCCCAGTTTGAAAAACTTAGGTAACATTGCCAACATTTTACCATGGACATGAGTTAAAAGGTGTCAAACAGTATCCATGGGTCCTAGATTTAGATTCGAGTTTCAACGACAGGATGTAAACTTTTCTGATACCCATACACAATTTCCAAGTAACAAATTGACTGAAATTTCACCAACTAAAGTAAAGTTATCATCAAGGTATGAAAATTTTCTCCCATGCCAATCCCCAAGTAGTGTCTAGACTTGGAATGCAAAAATATAGCTTTCTCAAAAGCTCATGCATAAAAACAGGGAAACAGATTTAACTGCATAGAAAAATGAAATAAAATAAATTTCGGCGTTGAAAACAACTAAGAACGTCCATGGAATTCCTTGTAAATAAGAATGTAGCTTGAACTTGACATGTCAAAGCAGTGACAAATATTTTAGTTTCCATTATTGAGCACATTTCTCTAGCGAAGATTTAAATGTAAAAAGAAAAATCTCCAGCATTATTACAACCAAATGATACCTGATCAATGAAGTAAACAAGCAACTCTTCCGCAAGTTCACGATCGCCAGATTGTGAAGCAGTCTCCATTGCATCTTTGTAAAGGTTATCTTTCTTTGACAATGCAATGGATTGCTTCCATCTACCGGCCTTTTTATAAATGTACGCTGCAACACGCCTCATTTCAAGAAGCTCATGTTTCTCAATCTACTCAAACCCACATAAATGGCATAAATTAGCCCCAAGATACAAGAACTAGAAAGTATAGTGAAATAATTCAATTACACTTCACCTTTTGTGCAAGGCCAATCTGATCGAAGTTATCGTGGAAGTCAATTGATTCACGTAATCTGTCATAATCCTCCTCCTCCACATATATCTCATTAAGAGCTTCATTCACAGCAGACACGTTATTACTCTGAACAGCAACCATGTATGGCTTAACAAGACGCAGGTGGCCCGCCTAAATGAAGCAAAGGTAAAAAAATAAAAATGGCAGAAAATTAATGACTCAAAACCAAGCATTGTGAATTGCGAAAGGAAATAACCCATTCAAACAGCGATATAAACCTTTCTCATTATGTCCACCACACGTGTGTGATCAACACGAAGGGCAAGGACATTCAGAACATCATTAATGAGTTCAGGGTGCTCTTGCAAATAGAAATGCACTGCCTTGTAATATAGCTCCACATTGGCAACTTTGACAACAATATCTTTGAACTGCATGTGATCCCATGCTTCTGGAGAATGATTCATGACAGTTGTGGCAGCGTTATCAAACTCATCATACTGAATATACAAATAAGTTAGTTCCTTCCAGTGCTGCTGTTCGTCACATGCTCGGATCAGCTTGGGAATGTTAAGACGGGTAGAGAATAATTTGATATGCTCCATAAGCTTCTCATAACGATATCTAGCATACAAGACACCAAGCTCTGTAAAGATGCCCATATGTGCACGTTCCAATCCTAAACCACTCTCCATAAGAGATATAAGCTCATTAAAGCATCCTCTGTTCTGGTAGTATTCACTGACTTCTTCCAGATCATCAACCTAAAGGAATCACATTCGCATAGTCAAGACATTTAGTGAGTTCTGAACTATCTAACGTCAAAAATTCTTGTGCAAAAATGAACAAGGACCAGAAGTCCACTCCATTTGCAAGCTAAGAAACAAATTGATCAAGATATTAGCTCTGTAAGAAAGAGTCCTAAACTAACAACTTATACAGAGTGGTAATATACCTGTACAATGATATTGAGCCCGCATATCTGAGCCAAACGAAACTCTTCAGCATCAACACAAGCAAAACAAACTTCTTTCCATGTCTTTGAGCTATTAGCTTTACGTGCTGCATCAACAGCACCTTGAAATTGCTTCAACTTGACAAGTGTGCATGCCAATTTGGCCCAGTTAGAGATAAAAGCAAAAATAATCTTAGCTGCCTCATACAGTGCTTCATCATACAAGCGATCGCCAACATTTGGGAGATTGGCAACATTTGGCATGAGAATAAACTCTTCAATCTCACCCAGCCTATCAATCTTAGCATATGCATAAATGAGCTCACTGTCCAC